GTGAGTAAGGGAGCCGGAGCCCAATTTTTCAAAAGGTCAACGCATCTGCAACCCTCGGGAGGAGCAGACGTCCATGGGCGGCGGTATTCACTTAAGATCAGGTGAACCGCCTGCACTCTTGGCAACTTATCGCATAAAAAAAAGACTCCGTGGCACAGTTGCCAAGGTATTGGCTTCGATGCCGGGGTCACACACGAGAAAACTATTTGTATGACCCACAGATAATAGTTTCGGTTATAATATCTTCTATGTATAGTGCAAGTGATATCTGTGATATTTCAGAGCTCGAGCACATTGTTTCACAATTCAAACAACTCGAGTACGGATGTCAATAACAAAGAAGCCCTGATTTACCAAGCACTTGAATTGGGCATTTAAACGTAAAACATATATAACAATACATGGGTTAAAGCGGCAAATGGTAGACCCGTCGCGTGTATCTAATCAAAAATCTGGACCTTGCTTACTGAAGAAAAACTTAGCGAAGAACTGATAATTAACGGCTAACATTGCACTTCGTTAGTACAACGGGATTCCAAAATTAATATGGAAATATATATAATATACTTTAGGATATATATAATACTTTAGATAACATTTTTACACATATCTCGTCCCAAACTAGGCAACGCTTGTACTATGGGTACTACATAATTGATAAACATACTTAAACATACTTTTCGTTTGTAAATAAATACATAACTATACATAAATATATGAACTCACAGACACTGGAAAAACACTATGTTACTATGAAAATCACTGTGTGATAGTCACACAATATTTTTCCAGTAGTGGGCATCGAACCCACACCTTCTGGCCCAGGAGGCAGGTACACTGCCCACTACGCTACTTTGGTCATCACAATGAACTTCAACTAGAACTTGATCGATACATTAAAAATGTTTAAGCGACGCTCGTCTATAATATGATCTACTGCGATGGAATAAAATTTACTTTTCATTGCACTTGGCTGATATAGAACGATCACGATAGGTGCAAGGTAAATGAGATTCTAAAACGTTAGTCGTCGAGTTGTTTTTGTTATGTGTTTAGCTGGTGTTTGAATAGTGCTCGTTATCGTCAGTGGGGCTTCATCGCATAACGAATCACGTGTTCCTGCAATTGTGTTGTCGAACTTTTCCGATTGTATATCTAACATTTCCCTCTTTCTCTATATAATTAGACTGAAACACTAACTGACTTCATACGAGTGTCCCTTTTGCAACTCTATGCCTAGATGGGAAGATTCAATGTAACATTATTGTCAATGAATATAAATACTTATAATAATATTACATATTAACGCCCGGTTTCTGAAACACTGATCATCGTAGATGCTAGTTAGCACTAATCAGCTGTCAAATGGCTTTACAAATAACATTTGAGTTTCCAAAAGGATGGTTAAATACTTTGAATTGATCATTCTGATCATTAAGAGGATAATTCTGGTCAATTCAGAGAGTTTAACCATACTTTTTGCAACTGAAATGAAATTTGAAAACCCATTCGACACCTGATTTTTTGACATCTACGATGATCAGTGTTTCAGAAACCGGGCGTAAGTCGTTCATACATATTGTTCTTCTTCTCTATGCAACGCCCAACGTGCAAGTCTCATGTAAGTGATTCAATAAAGTTTATACAAATAAACAAGTCTTCACTCTTTTAAAATAAAATAGAGTTAGGTTTCCAGATCGTACCATTTAATTAAGTCATCATAACCACCGTAATCATTTACTTAAGCTACCATAAAAACCTGTAACAAAAACATTAAAAAAAGCTGGCATACTTGTTTTGTGAAATTTAAAAAAAACAATTGTGTCAAACAAAGATGGCAAGCGAGCAGGCTATTCACCTGATATTAAGTGATAACCGTCGCCCACTGACATTGCCATTTGCAACACCCGTAGGATGCCACACAGATACGATGCTACATAAATACGCTGCCACCTTTTAATAAATTGGGTCCCGGATACCAGACTCACCAAACCAAACCCATAACTGTAACCCTTCACTACACGCCGTTCTCTGTGAGATAGAGGTACTTGCCCGGACGGACCTGCCCATTCATGCAACATCGAAGACTCTTCCGGAACCCTACCATAGCATGCAAATAAAACCACACCGATTCGCACATACAAAACCAAACGTATCCGCGTCTAACACTCACTCATTCATGATGTTTTTTAATGAAATCTCACGCTGCAATTGCAATTCCTTGATGAGCAATCAGCCCTAAGGTCGCGTGTTAGGGTTTCATTAGCAAGGACAAATCGTTTCAACTCGCAACCGGTCTTAACTGGTGTTTTGTCGCTGATTCAAGTGACGTTGGATAAATAATAGAGTAATTAAATTACCTCGATAGAATATATAAAAGGTTCTCTTGATGGTACGTGATAATCGATTTTAATCACGCTCGCATAAAAACAAAGAAACATCTCATGAGTAACATGAAACTGCTAAAATACAGGACCCTTTTTCGATATATATAAATTAAGAAGATGTCAAATGAACAAGCGGTTCACCTGAAGGCAAGTGACCACGGCTGTCCATGGATATAAGTAACAGTAAATTATCTTGTTGTTCTTTAAATGATAGTCTGTCGATACCCCCATGCACCAGACGTACAAAAGTATATTCGGTCAGCCTTTTATGAGGCTTTGTAATCCCGAATTGACATTCACGAAATAAATTGCGTTTTGTCTAGTGAGTACGCAACTGCATCGGCTAAGTTGTTGTTGATATATAAAGTCGACGATATATTTAGTTACAGATATTTGTATTCAGTTTATGTGTAATTTATAATACACTAGCTATATTTTCAACACTTTACGACACTTTTTTCAAATTAAAAAATAGCCTATGTCCTTTCTCAAGCTCTAGACTGTGTACCAAGTTTCATTTTAAACGGTTCAGTAGTTTTGGCGTGAAAGCGAGACGGATAGACAGAGTTACTTTTCATTCATAATATTACTATGGATTTAAATAATCTTCACATTAAAAGTAGAGATCATATTTCAACGTCATCTAAAGTTATCTTCTATTTAAGTTTGTTCTATCGTGTATACTACTGGTAATTACTAATGGATTTCTACTCGCTCTGTATCTTTGAAGTCCCGGTCGCTCTCTCCAAATTAAACTGCTACGTTTCAGAGCGTGACGAACTTTGATGTTACGACGTTTGCCAAGAGCCCGTAACTCGTCGTATTAATTTTTGTGTTTACTTCACATACGAATACCCTAGTCTGCGAATTTACTTGCGGCTTTTCATCAGTCTCACACTCACAGCAAGACTCTACTCAGAAAATCTACTCTTTTACATTCCTAATTTATTAGATTTTCAGTGGCTTCAAGATCCTTAACTCCAGATTACCGTTCACTCAAAATCAAAATCAAAGTCAAAAATTAAATTAATTATTCAAATAGACGCTTGTGCGCTCTTATGAATCGTCAAATTTTACATCAAAATCTGTGTATATAGGTTCGTAAGGTACCACCGGTTCGGAAAGCAGTTTCTGTTGAGAAGAGAAACAAGAACGGCAAGAAACTCAACAGTTGCTCTTTGTCAAAAATATCAGTTTAAAATATAATATACAGGTAATAGAATAGTCGTATGTGTACAAAAATTACCATCACATGGGACTTATTTCCTACCTTTTGTAGGAGGATAAACTTCTTTTTCTGATTTGATGCGTACAGATGATGAAAGAATTCCCTGTCCGGTTTGAATGTAGCAGCCAGCAGTGCAGTCACTACTGGTTGTATGAGGAAGATTAAAGTCACTCAGCGAGCTATGGAGTGGTTTTTCTCTACTTGATATCCGCAGCAGAACAAAGGTAACCGGCATAGCTTAGAAGGTTGGTAAGCTGTAGTGGTAAAGGGCCGGCCATATAGCTCGTAGAAACGACAAGGATGATAAAGCAAGGTCCCCTCGTATTAGCCCCCGAGGACCTAGAGGATTCCGCCTACTAAAGTGATGACTTGTGCAAATGTGCAGAAAGTTGGTTGATGCAGTAGACTCAGGATCCTGCTTTGTGGCAATCTATTGGGAAGTTCTATGTATTTTCAGCAGTGGAATGAACCGAATAATCTGACTGGAATAATGATAATGATATGTCGTTTAACTACCTCTTTAGGCCCTGTTATGGTTTGTTAAATTGCAGTTAATCGTTTTATCTTCCAGGCAACTACCAATTCCGTTATTATGGTTAATTATGCAGTTATCTCAACGGTCTCTGAGTCGAACTTATCCAGAACTTTTGCTGGCGTCAACGAATCGACAAAGTATTGCATTTCTATCACTATTTTATCTCAAAAATATTATAAGAAGAAAATTATAATTTAAGGCAAGAATATACACATTATACAGGGAGAGAGATAGCCAATGCTATCAAACTTATATAGAGTTTATTAAGTATTAAACGCTATCATTAGCTTTCGAAGAATTTAGTTCGAAGATATGTGAAGTGCCAATTCGTGGGGTTGTGTGGTGAACTATGCTCTGATACCCTCAGTACAGAGGAGGCCTTTGCCCAGCAGTGGGACATTTAAAGGCTGTTTCTTTTTTCTTACATTAACTTAGTCACAGCACGCAGTAAACAAATTATAGAAACATTAATATTTCAAGCAATACATCCGAAAAATGGAAATTAATTAAAGACCGCCACTGTGATTCACACCATCACAACATCCCAAACATTACTTAAAGTGATGAAAAAAGTTAGAGTGGTTATTAACAAGACGTACAATATAATTAAAAAAAACTAAAAAACCCGACTGCATTTCTGTGTAATTTTTTATTTTGATGTACCCAGTGTCACTCTGTCTGACAGTAAATACGAATCTGACGACACCTCTCAAGCTAAAATTCATCAAGCCTTCAGGCTACAGTGCGTGCCAAACAATTACATATAAAAACATAACCCTCCTTCTGGCGCAGTCGGGTAAAAAGACTCTCAAACTGTTTTAAAAATAAACGGAAATATGAAAGCTACTCACCTGGGTCTTCTAAAAGGCACTAAAAACGTCAACGGGCCGGCGGACTTCCTCCTGCCCTTCGCCACGGGAACGGCAAGCAAGTCCTCTTCATCCGTTTCCGACCCTGGACTCTCACCACTGATGGCCGCTGGGGCCGACATTCGCCTCTCAGGGATGGTCTTGGGCGCTTCGAGCATTTCCCTGATCACTTCGCAATACTTGCACGCGTTAGCTTCCGCTATATACGCCTTAGTTATAGCGTACGCGTAATTCTCCAGGAAGCATTTGTGGCATCCCGGCACATAGTTGTTCTCTAAGTCCGTCGACTCCTCGCTTGGCTCCTGTCTCTTTAACATCTTCTTTCTCTCCATTGTCGTCGTGCCCTTCGGCGTCTTCTTCTCCGTTTTAAACTTCTTCTCTTCCTCCAGCTTCCTCTGTTTTATCTCTTTCAAGCACTCGTCCTGATCATTATAGTATTCGATGCATCGGCGTTCGTGTTTGGAGTGCTTAGCCGGACTCCTCTTTCGTTGTTTCTTCGTGCTGACGTTTACATTGAGCGGCTCTATTCGCAGCGATTTCATCTGCTTTATAATGTGCTCATGCACGTACGGACGGGTGTATGACAACGGATCGTCGGCACTGCTCTGATCGTTATCCGTTTTGGCGCACGCCTCGTCGTCACTGTTTCTATTAGCTGTCTCGTCTTGTTTACTAAACTCTTTGATGTCCCGATCGCCGTTAATTTTATAGCCGCTGTTTTCAGTGCACTTAGCGGACGGCGAGTCGTCGTCCAGACACGTCTCGTAGCCATCGATTTCGTGATCGATGTACAGCAGCGTGCTATTCTCCTCCCGAACGGATATCCGTGTGGTCGTCTCGTAAAAGCTACTGGTCTCGTCAGTCGGCGAGTTCAAACACTCCTTCCAGCTCTCGTCGTTTTTCGCGATCTGTGCCGTTTCCTCTCTGCCCAATTCCACGTTGCTCCCCTTCCAGTATCTGTCAAAGCTGATCCTCTCCAAGCCAGTTGGCGTTACCGCGAAGACCATCTCGTCGGAGGTTGATAAGTCTCTACTGTTCTGTTTGGACAGACACCTATTTCCGTCCGCCTGTTTCCTGTCGGCGGATTTACTTCTTATATTCAACTCCCTGGGGGACATCAGCACGTCATCTTCGGTTATGGTCATGTCGTCATCCTGTTCATCCAGGGATCCATCCGATTTGGAACATTTAAGTTCCGCCACGCCATTCACCTTTTCCCCATCCTGTATATCACATATTATATCATCGTTCAGAACCGCTGCCTTCTTGTTGCACTCGTCGAAACTAAGGTCGCAAAGAGCAGAGAACTCATCGTCTTTCATTGACGATTCCTCTGGCTCTAAGCATATCTGGACGACTTCTATACCCTCGCCGTATTCCTGGAGACACTCGTGGAACGAGTCCATACCGGTGTGATCGTCTGAAGCAATTGAGTTCACGCATTCCTGCAAATGTAAATTGAATTAATAACAATGATGACCTTTACAAATTTATATTATCTTTGTTATCAGTTAATAGTAACTATTCATTTCAAGTTATCTAACCAAACCGAGTTTTAACATTTAGTTACGTCATAGAGTGGGAAATATTTTTTCTTTCCTGCATATCTCTCTTTGGTGTTAAAAGTTCTTTTCCTATTTCCTACTTCATGGCATCAGAAGAGCAAATTGGCTTTTTTAGTTTAAGAAAAACACTGCTCCTGAGTTAAATTAAACAGGAGTAAGGATGAGGACAACGTTGGCTCAATAAGGCAAAATCGGTTATATAAACGGACAAGCTAAATAAAATAACATATTTATTTTAACAACATTTATTTGAATAAACATAACAAAGCTTGTTGGGGCGAAGTCTACGCGAATTCTTTCACATTCTATAATTATGCAACATTTAGTTATCTACATAAAAGGCAAAAAAAAACACATCAATGACTACAATTATTCTTACGTATAATAATATATGCATAATATCAGTTACCTTAAAACAGATAGCCTATGAATAATTTTTATGATTACGGACAGACGCTTTTACTTGCATTGAACCGACCTTACTCGTTAAATGTAAATATAGGTTTGGATTCAAATATACTTATCACATTAAAGGAAAATAAACACTTCTATCTCGGATCTATAATATTAAAACTATTCGGTTATATCTTGTCGAAGACTCACTAACCCCAGTTTAATACAGTTTATACGTTTTCAAACAATATATGTAAAAATTAACATCCATTGTTTCAATGAATCTAAGCTATCATTGGAAAATAATATATTATGATTCCATATTTCATAGATTCATTATACACTAGCTTTTCGCCCGCGTCCTAAAATAAACATCTATCTCCTTTAAGAACCCTTGATAACCCCTTTTTCCAATTAAGAAATAGCCTATGTCCTTTCTCAGGCTTGATTTCGTATGATATTAACTACCTCACTAGACATTATTTGTGATAATAAGTCCCAAATAATTAAGTTATAATTTAAATTTACTTGCAATGGAGGCAATTGAAGTCAAGAGAGGCGGTACCAAAATCAGGAAATATTTTGGTGATACCAAATTACAAAAGGCTATGTTTAACCCGTCACAAAAATTATAAAAAAATTCTAAAAATTCTTGCCGACAAAATGTATGCTCCCGAAAATATTTTGGCGTACGACAGACGGATTTTCAGTTAGTTTTTATAACGTGTACAGTAAGTTGTCCGCGGTTATCTTTGAAGGCTTTTAATCATGTGCATTAAAGGACCATCTTTACAAAAAAAAAAAAAAAAAAAAAAAACCCGAAGTCGGGGAGTGGAAATCTCGACAAGCCTTATAGAGCACTATTGCTTTCTAGACATCATTGTCCAAGAAATTTAAATTGTTTATAGTGCTAATCTTTGCACTTAAGATTGAACATTAAAATATGTAGAAAAACTGCGAAAAGATTGTCGCCGTTGTGGGAATCGAACCCACGTCTTCGGCATTCGCGGCCTGACGCTCTAGCCACTGAGCTAAACGGCTGATTGCCACACCGACGAAAATCTTAACGCATTCTTCCACATTGTTTTCTTAGCATTTGAAGCAATGCTTGGCGCCATCTATTGTTATATCCTTTCCAGCATACAAACAATTTCGAATATCGTTTTACAACGATAATTCGAACGAGAGATGTCGCCATTGCTTTTTTAGAAATTTAAATTGTTTATAGTGCTAATCTTTGCACTGAAGATTGAACAAGATTGAACAAGCCGAAGACGTGGGTTCGATTCCCACAACGGCGACAATCTTTTCGCACTTTTTCTACATATTTTAATCATTGTCCAAGATTCAGAATCCAGAGAGAACCAGTAGCCGCGTTCGTAATTCCATTCCGCGCTGTATGCAGGTCTTTTCTTTTTTTTATGTGAAAAGTTCTTAAGCGAGCAGGCGGTTCACCTGATGTTAAGTGAGTACCGCCGCCCATGGTCATCTGCTACACCCGAGGGTTGCAGATGCGTTGACAACCTTTTGAAAATTGGGCTCCGGCCACCTCACTCACCAGGCGAAACGCGAAAGTATTATACTTCCACTTTACGCCGTTCTTCTGCGAGGTCGTGGTACTTACCCGGACGAGTCTGCCCATTCGTGCAACAGCCTGGCTGCTGCGCACAGTTAAAATAGTTAGTAGTTTCTAGTTTCAGTTAAACTATTAACTATGTTTTGTGCTGTATAATTTACATCTAATGTGAATCATTATTTTAACGTCTCCAACGGTTATTTAAAATCTCTTTCAACATCCTAACGTATATCGAAGAACCTTAATGTCTATGATATGTTCAAAGATACCTGTAATCCAGCGATTTGTCCAATGTGGCCTATTATTCTAAAATAAATCGCGTACAGAATAGAATGTGCAAAGTAAACACTTATTTGACTAAGTCGCAATTGGACGGTGTTAAGCTCAAATAAATGAATAAAAAAATCATATTAAATAAATGAAAATTTCTCCATTATACATACATTACATTTTTTCTGCAAAAATAACACCTCTTATCACATTTAAAATTAAACATTACTGCATCGAAATAACCTATTTGCATTTACTTATACACGATGAACCTAGTTAAATCTAATGAATAACATTTCTTTATAATATTAGTTTGTTGGAATGTCTAAAATATTAAAGGAATATAATAACACTGGACTGAAAACTACAAAATAGAACAACTAAGACGTCTGTAAAATACATTAATCGTGATCGGACATGATAAAATGCAACGTCATCATTTAAAATCTATAGCTAGTTTTTTTTTTATTATTAATACTTATGTTAAATTTTATTTTTGTTTTACTTTTAGGTACCTACTTAGATCGCAAATGTTGTGTATACCTATAATTGGCTTAAATATAAGAACAAAATCTGTAACTAAAAATATATGTATATATAAATGTAAGTATATGTTATGCTGTTGGTGTATCTTAATAAATAAATAAATAAACGTCGAATTGTAAATTAAAAATCAACAATTAATAGTACTAATCTACATCAAAATAAACAAACGTAACCAATTAAACCCCATGATTTTCGGGTAAAATACTGTGTTATATAACTATACGATTGCCATTACATTATTTAAACATCAAAATATATCTTAAATTTCTAACATTACGGACACAACGTCAAGGTATACTAAAAGTTCACCCTTAATTATGATTTTGAATACTTACTTCACACGAAGAGTAGTTTTTATATATCTTAACATTTTAGATAATTGTGATTATGTGATAGATATAAGTTTTCTTATCAATTTGATGGATTTCATCAAGTTTTATTTTAATTCAAAATGAAATGCGATAAAATCCTCAAATTATTTTCTTGTTAACTTGTTTCTGTATAACCGATGTTTTTGCTTTCAGTCCCGAGACTATTAAAACTTCATCTGACGCAGACCAATATTTTCATAATATATCAGAAAAATATATTCATTTAACCGTGTACTGAATGGCAATGGATGTAAATAATCCAATAGGTTTATTTAAAATCATTGCCATTTTTTATACAAAATATATCCATAACTTCTATTAACTTTATGATATGTTCTTAAAATGCCCTAAGGTTCAGAAAACCTTTAATCACAAATTTTTAATCTTTACAACTTGTACAAGCTAAAACGTCTGAATCAATCTCTACGTTTTACTATGGCAAAGTTTAAGACCATCGTGTTTTGAAGTTCAAAATTGTGTGTCATCGTCATTATTATGAGGGTAATAATTCTATTGTCTGCGTAACGCTGGATACGATGATTACGTTGCATCAGAAAAGTAGGTTGTCTATATTTGAAATCTATTGAAAATCCCAGGATGCATCGAACACTGTATAGATAAACACTCCATATAACAAAGCATAACTATTCTTGTTCTATATGTTTTAATGTGACAATCATTTAAAACTTTCCCATCTAACACGGATAATGTCAGACACAAAACCAGAAGTCTAACCATGGACCTACTATTCGGACCACGTGCAGTTACTGCGTATCCGAGATTTTGGAAGTTAAACTCTTGGGATGTAAAACACGTTTATTATGATCCTCCGCCGTGAATTTCGCAAATTTAAGCGAATTTATATCCTCGACTCTGTGTCCTTAGAGCGGTTTTCGTCTGCGCCCTCCCGCGGCACCTCCACGCTCACGGTGTACTCGAGCTTGTCCCTTTGTCATTTCATCGCGATCTCCGCTTTGAGTTTCGGGGAAATCCCGTATGCGGGGCGAGGGGGGCGGGGGTAGTGCGCCACGTCGCGGGAGCACTGCAACTGGAGCTCCATTATGTCCCTATGCAGGGACATTATCAGCCTGAGTATCTTCGTGAAGTACTCAACTTTCTGATGAAAAAGAACGTAGTAATAAGTTATACTTTAGGATAATGGGCACATTATAAAGCAATTATGGCGTGCAGATGCGTGATGGAATAAATAAGTACATGTTAAACGACCTCGCATTAATAATAAATAAATAAATAGCTCAGAATATATTTTTACACAACGTTACCTAGTCCCAAATGAAGCAGTTTGTACTATGGACTAGGTAACTGATAAACATACTTATACATACTTTTATAAATAAATACATTTTAGACATAATTATAAACATCCAGTAACTAGAACAATACTATGTTCATCGCAACGATATTTTTAAAGTAGTGGGGATCGAACCCACACTCACTGGCGCAGGAGACAGATCCACTATACAATACACCTTATCGGGTCGTCAATATGCGTAATATAAGGTTTGTCAAAATATTTGACTTTGAATTTGAGTAGCTTTAATTGAAGCGACATCTATTGACATACGAATAGAACATAGACGTTTAGAATGTGGAAGGGAAACATAGATGGCGCTGTAAAAATATAGGCATTTCCAGAGTCGCAAGTTAAGAAAATGTGATTTACATTTACGTTGTTAATAAGAAGCTTATTCAAAAATTAGTGGCGAATAGTTTCAGAATAAGATGGAAATGAATTATTGTGGAAAAAAAAAGCATGCAAAATAATATTGTACACTAAAGGGATAGGTATGGCCGTTTTATTAACTTGCAGTAAAGAATCAAAAGCGATAACTAACTGAAACGTTAGAGCGGTAAAATAAACTCCCTTTACTGTACAAAAAACGAGTTTTTAGTCGAAAACGTTAAGAGAATCGCATGCGTTATAAAATTTAACAGATTATATACTGCTCTAAGCGTTTATAAAGAAAAAGCTTTATATAAAGAAAAAAAATTGACTTACTTTTTCCCCTCAGTGTACAATATCGACAACAACATACATTTTACGACAACACACAACAACGAAAACACTTTTATATGACGTGACGATGTGCGAACTGACTTTTCGATAAGTTATAAAATAATGACAATCAATTTTATTTGTCTTTAGAAAGCTCTTGAATGTGTTACGTAATCAAAAATACTTTGTATTTATTATAACATTAACATTTATGTGAAACATCAACAGTTTTAATGATCTAGTTGTTTTAATTTTATTACAAGAATATTTTCAGTTTTTGAAATAGTGCATTAAATGTCAATAATAATCAAATAGAACGGTGAAGAAAAATATAAACTAAAAGTAAAAAAAAAAAAAAACTTTTGCGGAATGTGTAGTGTCGGATTTTAACTCCCAACGTCTTGAATATATTTCAAGGTCAAGACAAGGATAGTCCAGAATTATAGTTAATAGAAAGTTTTTAATGCTCACGTAAATCTAAACGAGTCAATCTCCAATTTGGTACTGACCTGACTGCTGTGGACACTGTGACCGTTCGCCTTATCACCACCGACCACCGTGCTGCATGGCAAAGGCTTCGCCACGCCGATGGTCACCGTTCCTGTGAAAGGAACAGCCATCTTACTACCCAATTTTTCGTTTTCGTTTTCGATTCGAAATCACTCTTGTTTCGAACTCGATTCGAAAAGCTCCCTCCCGAACCGAATCGAAACTAGAAACGAGACCGTGCGTTAATAAATGCGTTAACTGTATCAGGCCTATTACGTCACAGACAAATGTTCCATGTTTACGGTTATAACATTTTTTTTTTTAGATAAAATGTTAAGTGCTTAATATTTTCCTAAAAATTATTCGATCTTAGTTAGTTCCAATTCTAGCCACCACTCGATTGTGCGCTGGGGGCATTCAGTGGCACGAACTGTCATGAATTCGAGTCAAACTCGATTGATTCGGAGCTCGAATCTGTGGGGAGTAGGTCTGTAGATTATATTCGCGTTCTTCATAACTATTGATGACCTGATTGGCATAATGGATGAGAACCTGTATCTCACCAGAGGGCATAATTATATTCAAACCTCACTACTGGAAAAATACTGTGCCATGAACATATTAGTTTTGTAGTGTCTGCACGTTCATGTAATTTGTATTCATTTAAATATCACTTGTATTCACCTACAAAAGAAAATGATTATCCAAAATGTTTATCAGTTGTCTAGATAATGTCGTGGACAAAACATGTCATACACAAATTTATTTACATTAATATTTAAGTAACACAATACTAATCGTTATTATTAATCATGAAGTCATAAAGCTATTAACATTTATTTGCCCAGTATATATTGAGTAGTTGACATGTGCAGAATTTTCACATTATTTTTTAGTGAGTCACTTTTAAGAGAGGCCATTAATCAAAGAAGAAGAAGAAGAAGAGTCACTAAAAAATAATCACAATGTGAAATAAATAATATTTTTTCAGTGGAAGGTGACGCGGTAAAATTCAGTTTACTTCGCTATCTTTAATTCAAACAAATCGTCAATAGATGGCGTTATCATATGTTCGTTTTAATTTTTTTTTTTACGAAAACAGCCTTATCAAATTTATAAGACATAATTAAATGTTTGGCATATCGAAAAAATAAAACAATTTCGGCAAGATTCGTCGTGACCTCATAAACATTTTTTTAAAATTGTAAAATTATGCAAGTTTTCAAGATATTTTCCTTCAATTCAATATTTTAGGATAACTCCAAGATCTCAATCTTTAATTTTGAATTTTACATTAGATAGTAGTAAAAATGCATATAATTTCTACTGTTTTAATTTAATCAGAAAATTTTACATTAACATCTTCGAAACTTAAGATAACAAGGCTTAAACTAAAATCACTCCAAACCTTTTATGTTTGTATAAGGATTCATGAGCAAAAAGAGAAATTCAGTTTTGAAACTTTCCCATTTGGCCGTTTTTGTCGCTGTCTTTCGAGAGATTCCGTTACTCGTAGTTAATACTAAATCTGTTATGGTAATTTTAAATATCGTTGCACGAATGGGCAGGATCAAGGGCCTTTTTTGTGTGAGAAAGCGGCGAACGAGCTGGCGGTTCACCTGATGTTAAGTGATAACCGCCGCCCATGGACATTTGCAACGGCCGTATCCTTGCAGATGCGTTGCCATCTTGTAATACAGTGGGCCCCGGCTACCTCACTCAGCAGACGAAACGCAGAAGTGTAACACTTCTACTTCACGCCGGTCTTCTGTGAGGTCGTGGTACTTACCCGGACGGACCTGCCCATTCGTGCAACAGCCGAGGCGGCTGCGTGGCCCTACCACAGCTAAACGACACAAAAGACCGGCGTGAAGTGAAAGTATTAACATGCTAACAACGCATCCATGAGCGGCGGTACTCACCGAAAGTCCAGTAAAACGCTCCTCCGCTTGACAACTTTTCACACATTAAAATTGACTCCTTGCATAACCTGTCCTCACCTTTTTCCATTAGACAGACTTTTCCAATAGAAAACTGATCGTTTAAACGTGTCACACTACTACAAATTGAAGAGTGTTAAGCTTATAGGCAATTTTTGTTCTACGTAGATGCTTAGCGTTAACCACCTCTGAAAAACTATCGACTCTTGCCTTCCAAACACGCAACGATCTTACGACTTTTGACAACTGAGTCTTGGAGAGCGAAAGAACAATTCATCCCGATGGATTAATTGTATTTGCGTCAGAATCATTTCTGGTGTTGTTTCCACCGACTGCTATGCTCTGATAAGATAGCGCAGCGTTCGGAGTGGGCAGAGGGATTTATTTTTACGATGCCGATTGTTTGACGAGACGAACATTATCTCATTAACGTTATGCCAAATACGGACGTTGTGGAGGTTTCCCGTTGATTATATTAGGTAGGTGATACCGCATTTGGTTATAACCGTTTGAGTTCCCGAATTTAACATTTACTGTGAGTTAAAGTTGTATATCTGTGGGATGTAACGAGTATATTAAATTTTTATCTTATTTATTTTTCTTTATTTCTTTAAATGGACACTTAATGATTAAAGTAAAAAGTAAAGTGCCTATATATGTCCCACAGCTGGGCAAAGGCCTCCTCTGTACAGAGGGTATCAGGGCATAGTCCACTACGCGGCCCCACTGCGGATTGGCGGACTTCATATATCTTAGAAATATTTTTTTTGTTATTATTTAGAAAATATGCAGGTTTCCTCACGATGTTTTTGTTCACCGCTGAGCATGTGATAAGTCAACACTTAAAGTTAAAAACTCCATTGGTGCCGGCACCGGGGATCGAACTCAGGTTGCTCGAGTATATTGAATTAAAGGCGAGCGCCCGGACACTGAGCTATCACTTAATTATTAAATATATAAAAAATATGTGTCTTTCTACTCTGTTGTACTTATTACTGTGATTATCGTCACGAAAAAAAAGCTTTCTCATGATCTTTGGTAATCTTACCGTGGTGGGGTCACTCAACAGCTGAGCGAGCACAAACGAGCTGGCGGTTAACCTGATGTTAAATTATAACCGCCGTCCATGGACATTTGCAACACCCGTAGGGTTGCAGGTGCGCTGCCACCTTTAAATAAAGCCCCGGCCACCTCGCTCACCAGACGAAACGCAGAAGTGTGACACTTCCACTTAACGCCGGTCTTCTGTGAGCTCGTGGTATTTACCCGGACCTGCCCAATCGTGCAACAGCCGAAGCACGAACGGGCAGGTTGCTGATTCGGCGTCTTCTTACTCTTTCTTTATTGCACACAGAAAACTACAGTTACAAATGATGGGTTACAAAAGTGGTAGTTTTTGACGTTCAATAAGAGCTTAAAATAAGCCTATGTTGAATAAAGACATTTTGACTTTGACTTTGACGTTGAAAAAGAACTATACAGAGGCAAGATTGATCCGAAACGGAGTTTACCAGCAAACCTTTAGTAACCTGTTTTGTTGTGCTCAGAGTGAATTCACAGGAGTTGCAATGTGGACTATCTGCTAGGAAATTAGTTTTATTTAGTTGAACAAAATGTACATTTATTTTATATATTATTAGATTAATATGAAAACTGAACGCTACTTAAAGCGAATTAGGATAGCTTTTTTCTCGTATTCCTTTCCAATAATGCTAGTATTACAGGGAAAAAATCACATCTCACAATTCACAATTCACGCCTAGATGTAAGGTGTTAATTAAACGAATAATAACCGACGATAGATAAGTGATCAAAAATCAAAAAAAAAATCAAAAATAGATTTATTCAAATAGACGCCTGCGCGCTCTTATGAATCTGTGGCGTTTCCGAACGCACCAACAACGTGTGGTGTTTCCGAACGCACTCAACAACGCATTTTCCGGAAAGCGAGTTCGGAATAGACACGACATGATATAGACAGAGTTTAAGAGAGGAACAATGGACACGTAATTATACGAGCATTTTCTAACTTGTGGAATATTCCCATATCATTTGTGGTACTATATTGCTCTGATGTTTCATATAGTGTATTGCTTGTGTAACCATAATTTGCCACATGGCTAATATAACTAATAAACAGTTTTATCCAGTGTGTGCTTTTATTGAGGACTTGCCCACGCTGGCGCTTACGGACACAGAAGTGACCATACATATCCCTCAAATCGTAAAATTTTACATCAAAGATTATGTGTATAGGTTTGTAAGGTACCACCGGTTCGGAATGCAATTTCTGTTGATAAGAGACCGGCAAGAAACTCAACAGTTGCTCTTTTTCAAAAATATCAGGGTACAATATAATATACAGGTACAATAGTCTTATTCTAGCCTACGTGAGTATCAACAGTATCAACTCCACACATTGGCGTCGTCGAGATATTTCGAAATGGTATAATATGCTTTGATCATCAGTTGATTTTTAATTTTACATTTAAATTGGTCAAGCGGCAGACTTAATATCGAGTGCGGGATTTTATTGTACATGCGCACACTTTGCCCCATGAACGACTTGTTTACTTTTTGTAGACGAAACAATGGCGCAGCAAGTTCGCCCTTATTCGATGGAAGGGAATAAGGGCGACGTGGGCGCGGGCTCACCTGCGGGCGCGGCCCTGATGGCGCGCACGGCCGCGGCCAGCGGGGCGCGCGACACGTCCAGCCCGTTGACGGCCACGAGCCGGTCGCCGGGCCGCAGCCGGCCGTCGGCCGCCGCCGCGCCGCCCGCCACCAGCGCGCGCACCACGATCACCGACCCGCCCGGCTCCGACGGGTCCTTTGGGGGGCCTTATCAATGCGAACCCAGCTCTGTCTACGACAGGGGCTGTTTGCTATTTGGGGGTGGGGCATCTGCTAAGTCTTTTAAAGACAACTTAGAAAAGTATCTCCTTTCAACACAAAAGTCCAGCACTTAAGTTTTCCGTATAATTGGAAGAATAAACAAGCACAATTAAGGCATAACTGTAGTGACCACAAATAACTCACTAATATTTACATACAGCTCAAGCATGTATTTGTAACCAATTCTATTGTCTTATTGTATTTTTTCTTTCGTTTTTGTAATTCAGATTTTTTTTAATTTTGTTTTATTTTGCTTTCTGTTTTTCCTATATTAGGCTTTTTGTGTTTGTTATATGAGGCTACATATTAATCACTGTTTTGTTACGCCATCTATCATTCTCCTATGGTTCCACTGAAAACCAGCATTCACGAAGTTTACTATCTCCGTGAACTCATGCTGAGTGGAAACCTATTTGGTGCATGTACATTGTATTTCTTTTATTGTAAAAAATTTTTTATGAACGATTTATTTATGTACCAAATAAACTTTTCTTTCTTTCTTTCTTTCTTTCTTTCTATTTTGTTCATTGCGAAAACGTGTTGTCCTTCACGACGCGTTCTTGCAATCCAAAAGCATGTTGAAACACATTTATTTGAGGGCTGAAACGCGAGCGGAAATAGCTTCGAACACGTCACCTGTGAAAGTTTTAACTGTCCGACTATCACAGCCCGTTGCATTACCTACGCAAAGTGAGCTACTAGGGTAGCCTTTAATCTACAAGTCGTTATGGAAGTTACGAAGCTAGGTAACTGACGGCCGTTTATTGAATATAGGAATCGGGCAGTCCCAACGGCTACGATACATTTCGAAACGTTTTCTGGGTCCCGTGCTCAAAGATAACGGGACCCTATCCCTTAGACTCCGCTCTCTGTCTGTCCGTCCGTCACCGGGCCATACAGCCTCAAAAAATCACTCCCATGCGCTGTTCCCATACAACAGATATGAGTAATTTTTTTTGCTGTTTCTATAGATATTAATACGGAACCCTTCGTGCGTGAATAAGACTCGCACAAAAAAATCATGTACGTTGTCCCACTTAAATATACATATTGTTTTATCAATCAAATATACTGTTTTATTCTGTTTTTAATATTTGTTGTTACATCGGCAACAAAACACACATAATCTGTGAAAATTTCAAATGTCTATCACGTTCGCACAGCGAAGTTTTAGTAATAAGGTCCCGTTTTACCCTTTGGGTACGGAACCCTAAAAAAATGATGTGGTTACCTTAATCAGAGGTAAAAATTTCTTTGAACAGACACAAAAAAAAACACATAATAACATTGTTGATAAACTTAAGATAAGTTAGGTTTTATTTTAATTAAATTCCTAATACTTTAGGCTTTGTATTTTCGCAATATGTATGGCAATAATAAGGCTGCGTATGGGTCAGTACGGCATCGAAGTATCATGAAGCGTGAAGGTCAGCACAGAAAATCAGCGCTGTGTTGGGGCCTTGACTTCCGGCCAGCATAATGCTTAGCTGCTGACCAAAACCTTAGCTGGGTCCAAAATAGGGTGTACAATACTTTTCGTTTGTTAAAGGTATGCTTTAACTTTATGTTGGTTTTGTTTAACTGTATTATTTATGACTATATTTTTGTTATTTCTTTTATTTTTGGTTAAATTTAATCTTTTTTATCTTTTTATGCCGTGTCCTTTTTTTTTGTAAATAAATGTATTTTCTTTCTTTCTTTCTTTGTTCTACGAGTAATTGTATTACAGATTTGCGTATTATGTGACCTGTTACTAAATCTTTCTGTTTAAAACAAAAAAAAAATACAAACAGTAAAAATTTAAATCTTATTTTACAATGGAAAACATCACTATGAATGAACGTTACTCCATAATCCAATTGAAACTTCCCTTTAACATGATATCATTACAAATACGTACTGCGCTTACCAAGTAGTCAAGGATGGAGAAACCCAGCCCCCTGTCTTCCTTCTGGAGCTGAATGTACTCCACGTGGTCACTCCACATCGCGAGGCCGCTCAACGGCTCCAGCGATCTGGACCTGTTCCGCTCCAGGTCCGAGCAGAACTCTGGAAGCAGTGAGGTCAATTTCGCAATCGGCTCCGTTGTCACTTTCTGCACCTACCATAAGCTTTCATTACATCCTGGGTTGACTGGTAGAGAATGCCCTTGGGCATTAACTCCCCCCTTTGTTACTTGTTTTTAAGGTTAGCAATAAAGTTTGATGACTCCGTGTCGCAGTCGCCAAGTTATCGGCTTCGGCGTCGGGGGTCGTGGGTTCGATTCCCACACGGGACAATTGTTTGTGCGACCCACGGATAGTTGTTTCGCATCTGGATGTTTGTCCACTCCCAATTTATATTTGTAAAACGTCTTTACAACACAGGATAATATTATCCTAAAGTAAGGTCAATGTTCTAAATTAAAACAAAAAAGCATAGTTAAAAAAATGATATCCTTTGCCAATTATTCGTATGAAGAGTGGCATACCGTCGTGGTCGTGTCCAGCCGATACTACTGTGGCAGCGCTGCACAACGAGGCGACGGAGCTCTCGGACTTGGCTTTGATGAGCCTCTGCGGCGGCGTCAGCAGGTCTTGCAGGCTGCCACCGACCAACGCGCTCTGGAATAGAACGGTCCTTCATCAAGAGACTCTTCATCATCATTCCTGTTCGAGCCCACTGCTGAACATAAGCCTCGAAGCACGTCCTGAGCCACCTGCATCCATCTACTTCCCGCACACTTCACTACATAGTATGAAACAAAGTCGTCCCGCTGTCTGTCTGTCCTTAGGCATGCTTAGATCTTTAAAACTACGCAACGGATCTTGATGCGGTTTTTTTTAATAGATAGAGAGATTCAAGAAGGTTCATATGCATCATACATTGCACCCTTGCGAAGCCGGGGCGGGTCGCTAGTTGTGAATAAATAAATGTATATTTTCGGACCACTTTTTACACAACGTTTTTTAGTCCCAAACTGAGCGACGTTTGTACTATGGTTACTAGAAAACTAATAAACACACTTAAACATAGTTTTCTTTTGTAAATAAATACATGTAATACATATATTAACACGCACACACTGGAAAAACACGATGTTCATCACACAATATTTTTTCAGTAGCGGGGATCGAACCCACACCCTCCGGCGCAGGAGGCAGCGTCACTACCCCCCCCCCCCCACGCCAACACACAGGTCGCCAGTCCTCGAAGAATGGAGTGGGGAGTTGTCCTACATTGCGATAGCAAGTATGAGGCTGCCACTCGGGAACCTTTCTTCTCCAACAAGTACTTATTACAAGTGACTAGTGTAAACAATTTTAAACATTTTGTAACAGATTTACATAATATAAAAAAAACATATTATGTAAGTAAATCGATTACAAGTATGAAAACAGTTGTTTTTATTTTTTTATTTATTTCGCGTATTTCGTTTTGCACCTACTTCAAATTTCCTCTACTCCCAGTGTTGACTGGAATAGAATGCTTTTTAAAATTAAGTTTGTTTTTGTTTAGCCTCAAGTTAGGTGTAAATAATCATTTTTTAAATAAATAAATAACAGCTACAACTACCCTAATGGAAAGGTCCTATGATGCGGGGAAATGACTCTTACAGGTAATCGAAAAACCTTAATTCTTAATCTGTAACTACAGACTAAATCAGCATTAGAATGTGAACACACAAACAGTAACAAGTAACAAGTTTATTACTAAGATTGTTGTAGAGCACAACGCAGAAATACATGGGCTAGTAGTATAATAACTGTAGTGATAAATAAAATGAATCCTACATTACTAATTATTACGAATGAATCTTACATACCTTTGCAAAGCTGCCCTCGTTGTGGTTTATGTTCTCTTCCTGTCTCTTTCTAACGCACACAAGTAGAACGGGAGAGGTAACCGCTCTCAACCTCGTGACCACCTCAACGTGATGCGATCCTAGTACCTTCCAACCGTTAACCTGTTGAAAGGTAACAAATATTTCGTAACTGTTAGTAATAGTTAATGCACAATTAAACTTATTTGTCTCAGTTTTATTTGTTTTACCTCAGTAAGACAATTAAATTGACTTAATATTTAAATGTTGATTCTGTTTTATTGACAGTAATTTGATAGACATTCTCTTAGTCATTTTGGTCCGCAAATAATAAACATATGAAATTTCATTGTATCTTCGATAATTAAGTACAAAACTAAATATTTATGAGACTATAAGCGATATCAAAGAAAGATCGGAAGGAGAAAAATAAATGAAAATAATTAAAAAAATGATAGCTAGGTATATTAAACAATTATTTGAATTTGTAAATCTATAATATATATATTTATACTCACTTCTAGCAGTTCATCGCCAACCCTATAAATTCCCAGTTTGGCGACGGGTCCGTTTGGGGCGATGGCTCGTATGTAATGCCTGGCCTGCACCTCCTTGCCAGCGACAACCCTGACAGTGCCCTCCAGGGAAATCCCCAGCCCGCTGTCCTTCTCCTTCATTATAGTGCCTACCTGAAAAACAAGAGTCCATTTAAATTCATCCATTCAGTGTACACATCTTCGCTGTCTACTTTTACACATATTACTTGTATATTTTCACCTTAGATTTATACGAGGCCCCGATTTCTTCATAAATTAATTTTGTTTCTGATGGTTCTTGTGCATATAGAGTTACCTTATAATTATTTGTACACCCATTTTATTTAATCTCTTTCTAATTTGTTAGTGTATTAACTGTTGATGAATAAATTAATAAACCTTCTTCACTGATTAATTGTTACTTCTTAATAAATAATAAAAATGCTCAAAGTTAACCTGTTTAAAAAACATTTATTAAACAATTGACATTTTCATTTTTCGCCTTTGGTTGTCGCACGTTATACCTTGATGTACACAGTTTAATGTTTCTCTCGTCGACTCTTTTCCGACATTCAACAGAACTCAACAGTTTTGTCGACTCAACGGTTTTGTTAGCTCAACAGTTTCGTCGACTCAACAATTTCGTCAACTCAAAAGCTTTGTCGAATCAACAGGTTTGTCAACTCAATAGTTCTGTCAACTCAACAGTTTTGTCAACTCAACAGTTGTACCCACCACTATGTCGTATCGGTGCTGATGTCCAGGCCACTCCTTCTCGTTGCGCAGCAGGTCCCGCCATTTGTCCTGGATCCTGCGCACCTCCCGCTCTGAGGTGTCGTCGCGCCCTATCACGATTTCCGCTTCCTCTGAAGGTGACGTAGGCGACGGCGGATGTGGCCGAATCTCGGAGTCCGGTTCTGCTTCGATCACCGTCGACTCGTCATACTGTAATTCCGTACCCCATTAAATTTGATCAAAATATATTTTTCAAATAAATATTTCAGGACACAGGACACATTTTTACCCAACGTTCTCTAGTCCCAAACTAAGCAACGCTTGTACAATGGGTACTAGATAAGTCATAAGTACTTACATACTTTTCTTTTGTATATATTTTTCCAGTAGTGGGGATCGAACCCACACTCTCTGGCGCAAAAGGCAGGGTCACTACCCATTAAGCCAATCGGGTCGTAAAATTGCAACTACGGATCTATTTACTACTACTCTACTTATCTATAGAATTATGATAAACAGGGAGGCTACAGGGAGGCTTTTTTAAGTGTATCCATTTTTTTTTTATTAAATTCTAGTCATAAATAATGTTATACAAAAATGATAAATATTTAAAATCACTCGTAATTAATTAAATACATTCATTTGAACTTATCTCCAAAAGTGGTCCAAAGCGTGATTTATGGGCAACTCATTTATTTTACGCGCGATCATTCATAACTAACGCGGACACAAGTTTGTTTCAAAAGTATACGACGCATTGATGAATGACTACCGCATTATCAACAAGTTCTGTTCTCTAAGGAATGGAATGGCAATTTATTTTTGAAAAAAAAAAAAAAGATTGTTTTTATTTCAAAAACGATTATACTACCGAGTCTGACCCTCCTGTGTAAATTTGGGCACCTTTAGAAAAGCCACCCTGTATAGGTCACTCCACAGTTAAAGTGCAACTACGGAGCTGTTTGTGTCTAAAAAAATCAAAATCATTTATTCAACATCGTAAGAAACATGAATTTCATCTACCAAACCAAAAAAATCGTGAGGTGCATGTTTTTCGAAATCGTAACAAAAAAAACCTTCTCACATTAAAAAAAACTTTACTTTACTTTTATAGTTGATTTATTTATATTAATAAATTTTGACCCTGTGCTTGTTTCGTTTGTAGTAATTGCGTGACAGCGGGGTGAAGCACATTAGATAAGACAATTTACTGTTTAATTTTTTAACACTTAGACCTGATACCCTCTGTACAGCGGAGGCCTTTGCCCAGGGTTGGGACATGTATGGGTTGTTACTTTACTTTTTTATTCAGTACCCGTTACGAAGGACTCTTACCACACTAAAGCTGTATTTGGCGAGAGACGTGACAGACGGACTGGGGGGTGCGACCGGTGATCTCCTCCCGTCCTGAGCCGCTAGAGCTTTCTGGAGCTTCTCAAACCCCGCCCCGCGTAGGTACCTGCAAAGGCGATACAGACATGAAGACCGGTACGGTTGACATCGTATATACCGCCAGACTGACGTCCGATCAGTAGAATTCTTATCGAAGACGTGTAGAAGACTTTGATTGACTAGAGATCGAGAACTTTTTTTTTTATTGATATATTACACAATATACACAATTGTTATATTTACACAATTTACGAAAAAGGAAAAAATAAAAAAAACATTGAACCTAATATGAACACCTGTAACAGGTGATATTTACAATATATTAAATATCACTGTGCCATTTTTTAGTGTACTGTGTCAAATAGCGACATATTACTACCAGGAGTACAGGAATCTCCAGAACTATCCTTAAGAAAGACAGAGAGAAAGAGAGTTATTTGCTTCATACAAATGCTAGGATTTATTATACATTCACACAATGTAGTAATTCTATAATTAAAAAAAATAATAAATATTTCAGTGTACATTTTTAAACTACGTTCTATAGTCCCAAACTAAGCAACGCTTGTAACGCTTGGGTATCAGATAACTGGTAAACACCCCACAATATTTTTTCAGCAGTGGGGATCGAACCCACACCCCCTGGCGCAAGAGGCAGGGTCGATATCCACTACACATATCAATACAAAATAAAATGAATCATTATAATTAAAAGACAAAAATAGTGGAAAAAGAAGAAGAAACATTTCACGCTTAATATATTTTTTTATATTTTTCTAAAACATTGCCCTTACTTAGGATAACGTTATCCTGTCTTGTAAGGACGTTTTACAATATAAATTTGCACGCCCACATACACCCGGATGCGAAAAAACTGTCCGTGGGTCACACAAACAGCTATCCCCGTGGGAATCAAACCCACGACCACTGACGCCGAAGCCGATACGTTGGAAACTGCGCCACGGAGCCATCAAAAATGTTTAAATGTATTCTGTTTTCTCGTTAAAAACAATGGGCTGACCTTAAGGCTTTTAGGCGCACAGTCGGTCCCTTCGCATCCCGCAGCAGGGCCACTGCTTTGTGATTTGTCACCCCATGCAGGGAGACTCCATCAACCTGAGAACGATGAGGAAAATGAGAAATGATAAAGTACCTTAAATGTTGATCCAGGAGTTATTTTCAAAACTTAAACTTGAGAAGTTTCACTCGTTGCCTTACGAGCGGACGGTTCACCTAAAGTTAAGTGATAACCGCTGCCAATGGACATTTGCAACACCAGTAGAGTTGCACATGGAATGTCAACTTATAATATATAACCGGGACACATATTATTGAAAGGTGGCAACGCATCTGCAACCCTACGGGTGGTAGGGCCACGCAGCAGCCTCGGTTGCTGCACGAATGGGCAGGCTCGGTTCGACGACCTCACAGAAGACCGCTGTAAAGTGGAAGTATAATACTTTCGCGTTTCATCTGGTGAGTGAGGTAGCCTGAGCCCAATTTCCAAAAAGGTTGTCAACGCATCTGCAAACCCTCGGGTAGCAGATGTCCATGGGCGGCGGTATTCACTTAACACCAGGTGAACCGTCTGCTCATTTGGCAACTTCTTACATAAAAAAAAATCCTACGGGTGTTGTAAATTTCATCGGGCGTCGGTTATCAGTTAACAAAAAGTGAACCACCAGCTCGTTTACCGCCTTAAATAAAAAAAAGACCTCCATAAGGTCGGATCAAAAATTTCTGGTACCGATAAAAACACAACTGGTACCGACAGACCTAATTACTCGAACTTGTTAATTAATTCTACGTTTTCGCTGTACGTTCAAAACAAGTCCGTGTTTGCCACTTTCTTTAAATTTTAATTTTTCATGTCGAGAATGAACATTGTTTTTTGTTTTATTCTACGCTCCCTATTGTTCGCTACGGCGTAGGTCAACAGTCGGATGTATTGTTTCAACTGTAAATGGTTAAGCTACGAGTAGCTACGAAATTAAAATACGGAACTGAAGCGAGTAGATCCATGATCTTAAACTGTGATATACGAAGATTTTATTTTAATTTTTACGGTTTGTCTTAAACATGAAAATATAACATTCACAGCGTTAAATCTATCTAAAAAATAATATATAAATTTTATCTAATAAAATGAGTCCACGTAGCATGGTGCCAAGAACGCTAGCTGCATTTCCTCGCTGAATGAATGCTTAACCTTTGAGCGAGAAGAGAACCAGCTCTCTTGTCACCAGCCGCTGCGTTAAGCCTACGTACTTTCAAACGTCATTGAATCAGTTATAAAGTATCCCATCGTGACGTACTAAGGTGAAAGTCAAAATTTCTTTCTTCAATTCGGACTCGGTCCAAGCTCATAAGCGCTTCGAAAAGAAAGAAAGAAAAAAAAAAAAAAAAAAAAAAAAAAAAAAAAAAAAAAAAAGAAAGAAACACATTTATTGCGTATGAAAAGCACCACCGGTCTCTAAATTAGACCTGTCTCGAGAAGAAACAGTAAGGAACTCTACAGTCGTGATAAATACGGGTAATTTTCGTTTCTTAAAGAACTTTTGCAATACCAGTCCATTCAAAAACTCGTCATAATTCCGTTTGGGTTCATAAGCTCTCTTAATGCTATCTCTGTCAACGTATAAAAGATTAAGGATATGAGCTATGCGCAGTTAAATTATGGCATGAGTATCATGCTTCACCACTCTACCACTCTACCGGTTTTACATGCTCTACCACATCCACATAGAGGCCATATTTGCGTTGCATAGCTCACATAAGAGGCGGCCATATTGGCCGAGCTTGTGCGTTTATTATGAATACCAAGCGAGCACAAAGGCCCGCTTTGGTTCCAGTCTTAAATTGCCCGTACCATAGCTATTGTGGGGCCGCAACTACACGTTGCAATTTCATATGAATCTCTCTGTTGAAACAAAAGCGTATTACGCCTGCATCCCACTTGTGTAGAAAGAATATGTAGTTTATTTTCTCTCGCAGAGCCTTATTTAAAAATAACTGGACCTACACTAGGATTAGTTATACATACAGCAGTTAAACGACTTTAACATTTTTGCGTTTTAAACCTTATTAAACATTCATTTGTTTTTATTTTAGTCCCGGTCTTTGCACTTAAGATGAAGAATTATCGCGCAGTGCTGATGTCAACCGCTTAGCTTAATGGCTAGAGCGTAATCCGCAAGGCCCAGGATTGTATCTACGATGCGGTGAAAATGTTTTCGGCAAATTCAATGTGTAAACATTTTAAATTCCATCCTTATATATTACTAGCTGACCCGGCAAACGTTGTTTTGCCATATAAATTATTTGTAGGGTAGAAAAAACGTTTGGGGTGGACCACCCTTAACATATTTATATTTTTTTATATTTATATTGCCCAATCAATGGGGTCGGGTGAGCCATCAACCGTTTTGTCATATGTAGCCATAACAAATTCAAATATCGTTATTCAATATAGAAGAATTACACTTACGTATTGATTGTCAAAACACTACCACCGGTTCGCAAAATTATGTTTACAAGTAAAAGCACTGTTTTTATCATAAAACAATATTTTTACCAAAAATGAGAGCAGAATCTGGCATGAGTAATATATTGTGGCGTTCACAGCATAATGCGTGCACTGAAACAGCTATTGTGCCAAGCCCTGATAATTCTGTACGCGATGTTAACAAACATAAAAGCGGACGTTTGGAATTCGTAATGAGCCCGACCCTGGGGGACGCCGGGACGAATTAAAGCTTCGACGACGATAAATGGTATGTAGAGGACCTTCGCCCCTTTTTAGGGTTCCGTACCCAAAGGATAAAACGGGATCCTATTACTAAGACTCCGTTGTCTGTCTGTCTATCCGTCGTCACCAGGCTGTATCTAATGAACCGCGATAGTTAGCTTAGATTTTCGCAGATGATGCATTTATGTTGCCGCTATAAGAACAAATACTAAGAAACAGAATAAAAATTATTTAAGTGGGGCTCCCATACAACAGACAAGTTTTTTGGCCGTTTTTGTAGACATTGGTTCGTTGGCAAGTCCGACTCGCACTATTCTCTACACGTGTAAATATTTTTAACTAAAACGCTTGTTCTTATGTAAGAAGGTGGCTAGCGATCGGTTCACCCGATGTTAAGTCTTAACCACTGCCCATTTATAACACCCGTAGGACTGCGAATGCATCGCCATCTTTTTATAAAGTCGGCCCCGGTAATAGACAAGGTTGTAATACTACATCACGCCAGTCTTCTGTGAGGCCGTGGTAATTCCCGGACGAGCCTGCCATATGTGCAACAACAGGAGCAGTTGCAAGTATAGCATAAGCATAATATACAGCGTGTCGTTACAATCGCGACAATAAATGAACACACGTCTAACGCTACTTGCCAATAATCATAAAAAAATATTAATGTTAAACAAAATCCATAATTAAAAAAAAATATTTTTCAAGAACACTAATTAAGTAAAAAAGAAATAAAATTTGTAAAGTCGCGCCACAGCGTCGCATTACAAGCCTCTCCTTCTAACAGTATGTTTTGTCTCTTTTAAATTCATTCAACCCATTCATATGTTATGTGACCTTTACAAATGAATTTTACGTTACAGTTATATACGTAAGAGTGATCTAAAATTCTTTGTTTTGAAAAATTTAATAACTCTGTAAATATTGATGTTTAAAGAATGTAAATGTTTAATACAATTTTAAAAAGTTATCCCCTATATGCGTGTTCATTTATTGTCGCTATTGTAAAGACACGCTGTAAAAGCAATAAGCACCACAGTAACTTTATTAAAAATTTCGTCTTTTTCAACGGATGCTACACGTTATTTATCGACATTTTTACGTAGTTTTCTAAAGTTAAGTTATATCACGTCACATTTTGTTTGAACTTGATTTGGAATGTTCTAATGCTTGTGACGTCATATTGTCATGTACCTAGGCCGAGCGAAACAAACTTGCAACAAAGCAAAACTGCAACAGCCAAATTAAACATCAAAACTCAGTTGAATTATTAATGATTTCTGGTGCAAAGTCTGAAGTCTCAGCAAGTAATGCTAATTTTCAGACCCAGCTTTGAAAGTTAATTTCAGTTGTCATCTTGTACACACACCGCTTATACAGGTAAACTAAAAATCAAAATATAATACATTATTAGTGATTTCTGATGCAAAGTCTAAAGTAATGATACATTTCAGACCCAGCCAAATTCAATTGTCATCTTGTAGGTGAAATTGGATGTGTTTCGACATTTAAAAAGCACCCTCTAGAGCAAGTTTTAATATAAATGCCGCTCATTAAAACACCGCCGGAATTTTATTGCGACAATAGTGACGCGATATTGGTCTATAAATGCCTTATGTCCTCAATTTACGAGATACAAGTTTCTATGAATAAACAAACATGAAGCCTCCCTTCATGTTTGTTTCTTGTATTAGTAGGAAGTGTTTACAAACTGAGATAGAAAACACATACATACTTGTGCATACCCACATGATTGTCCTATTTACATTAATATATTTAGTATTTGTTTTTGTGGCTAAGTGGTTGGGTAGGACGTCACAACGGCCGCTGTGACCTAGAAAGATCTATTTTAGTCTTCCCTTCGAAAACATTGTCCCCTTTCTGCAGGATAACATTATCATATATATATGTGTTGTAAGGACGATTTACATACATAAATTTATTTATTTTATTTATTTATTTAAACTTCATTGCTACACCTTAAGCTAAGATTGCGTAGAACAGGCTGAAGGCGTAACATTCAGACAGAAAGACGTATATACATAAAATATGTATATAAATTATAGCATATGTCTTATTCTGATGTATAAGCTATAATATTGTAAAGTTTCTTTAAAACCCATTCAGTAGTATTTGCCTGAAAGAGTAACAAACATCCATCCATACATACAAACTTTCGCGTTCATAATATTAGTAAGGATATCTAATTATAAATAGGTTCAGAAATATGTAAATATATTATAAATAATAAAACACAAATGGAGTAAGCTAAATAAAATAAGTGATTTAACAAGAATTCTCGAATTAATTTTCACGTCGTGGAGAGAAAACACTCGGATCGTACGTAGGTTTAAAAAAAATCGAC